AGCAGAGTCTGCCTGTGTCTTTTATATATCTATATATCTCTATACAGTCTGTATAAATGTGGTTCATCCAATAAACATTTGTGAGGAGATGCAGTTACTGTGAATGTACAGCAGGTACACAGTGATTAGTAACAAACAGTCAGACAGTGACTCTGACAATCTCATTCAGTCTTGCAGATTGAACCTTCTGTGGAAAGTGGTACCGCACAGTGTGTGTGGACTTCCCCTGTGCAGAAGGCGACTACAAATGTTGTGGTTGCTAAATAAACAGAAAAAATTTATCCCTGTTGTCTTTCCTTACTGATTTTTAGTGTTGACAATCCACATTGCTGGGATTGGTAGATGTGGATGTAGCAGGGGTAAGTGCAGCCACTCAGATCATAGCAGCAGGTGCAGATGTGTCACAAGTTAATCTAGTAGTAGGCTGTGGTATTTGGCCACAGGTGGCAGCAGTGGACTGACCTCATTGGAGACTGCTCCAGCTGCTGTGTGATAGTGGATCTGCTACAAATTGAAGATCATAAGCAAGTTTTGGAAATTAACCCTTGTATTATGTTGACAAACAAAAAAGTGACATTGATTTTGTTTGGTCATTTTGACCCGTACTGTGGAAATCCACTCAGAATTGTCAAAAAAACTGCAATAAAACAATAGCAACTTTATTTCCCATGAGATAAACATGTAGAACACAGACATACAACAGTTTGACTTTCCATAACTATTTTAGGAACAATTTGGAAAAGATTTTTCGTTCTTACAAACACATTTCTGTTGAACTTGCCCAACGTTCTCAGTTTTTCAATGCTCAACATTTTCAGTTTTGTCCACATGATGGACAGAATGTAACTGTGTGCTTTCTGCAGATGTACTTCTTGCATTTCTCACAGCATCACAGGAAACAGGAAGCCAGGCTGTGATGGTGACGTGTGTCCACCAGAGGGCAGAGTTTCACTGCTTTTGAGGCACCTGAGCTTTGAAGGAAAGAAAGACACCTGACAGCTTCAGTGACTTCACCAAACTCTTAAAAACTGAACACGTGATCATGTTTCGAGCTTCTGTTTTCTTCCTAATATCTGGATAATTAATTGATAACTAATCTATTTATCGCGTGTTGCTGGTGGACCATCAGAGGTGTTCACATCTCCTATATTTCATATCGTTTTCTTTTATGACAGAGGTTAAAGTTCAGCTTATGGTGCTCATTATTCACAACAACCCAAAAATGGCAACAAAGGAAGAAAAAACATTCTTCAGAATTCAGCCTCTGTACGTGCAAAATATTTAAATGGCTTTTATATGTAAATGAGAAACAATGAAAAGAATGAACAACACGAGTTTATAACGGATCCTTTTAATTATCGCGCCCACAAAAATATATGAATGAAA